GCCAGGGGGAACGAGAACAACGGCATGCAGCTGCACGGCTGCATTTACTGCAGGTCACCGTCGGGAATCGTGTGGTTCCTAGGCTTTCGCGAAGTTCGCGAGCGATGGCGAGATCCATGTAGATGACCTGAGAACGGCCTTGCAGCTTTGTGCCCTGAATCGAAGAAGATCCGAAGCCCTCGAGCCTAGACACGTGCAAACAGACCGCCGGCAATGTGGGCAACATGTCATGCTATGATGAGGCGGCTTCTGCGACGTGAGGGAAGTGGCTCTGCAGGTGGCGCTTAAGGACTGTACTACCTACAATACCCTCGACAAAGGGGAGTTTGAGAGCTTTGTGTGTCGCTTCGATCGCGGCCTTCGTGGAACATACAAGATGGAATTCGGGCAGCTATGCAGTGCCGAAGCTTGGTGACGCCTTTGCATTGGTTATTTCTGTTTGTCAGACGGTCTAGCAGTAGACAGACGAGGAGACCCAACCGACCATGTGTTGCAGTCACCCCTCCCTCATCACCAATTCGCAGATCCTGCTAGCACCAGCCAGGGCACGATCGATGCTGGTCAGTTGGAACATTTGCTGAATCGAATTGGACAGCCTGTTCGCAGATTTGTGGTAGATGAGCTTGTGAACGAAGTGAACGGTGACGGTTGTGGACACGTCGACTTTGATGGATTTCTCAAGGTCCGCCACTTGATAAAGAAGCGTGAGGGGTTTGCCGCAAGAGAGCTGGACCTTTTCTCAGAAGTCTTCGAGCACTTCGACCGTGAGAAAACGGGCTTTATCAGCCAAGAAGAGTTCGCCAATGCACTCGCGTGGCTGGGCTTTCCTGACAGCTTCGCTGAAATCCATGGGGAAAGGAAGGATGGGAAGCTCAGCGAGAACGAATTCCTCCGGTGCCTGTCGAAAGTGCACAGCCATGAGACGGCACTGGTGGAAAAGTTCTTTGAGAGCCGCGATGCGCTTGGTGGAAGGCCTGCTGTAGAGTACGGGGATCTTGTCTGAAGCGAAGTAGCAAAAGTTATTGGACTTACCCGCATGCTGTGGTCGATGAGCTGCACCGTGGAGCAGCCATGCCGGAAGTCTCTGTTAGGCATTATTCATTTTGACATATCTCGCGGGGGGGGGGTGGGCTGAAGGATGGAGAGAAGGGGCGAAAGAAGGAAGGCGCGGAAGGAAGGAAAGCTCCAGGCATCGTCCAGCCCGCGATGCTGCCCATGCAAGAAGACCAACCCCCCTTTCGCTAAAGACTGTAAAGAAGAGTGGCGAAACGAGGATGCCTCGCACCGCTGTCGTGAGAGCTTGGCCAGTGACTCTTCTGCAAGTATAGGCGGCCCAAGAAAGAGCTGAACTGCTCTTGGCGAACGCGGAACGCCTTCGTCGTTCCTGAACATTTTTCGTTCGTCTGAGACAGGAGCACTGTCAACAAGCAGCTGCATTCAGGCTTGGCGGTGCACATCCCAGTAGTTCATCTTGACCCTGTCCGTGCTGGTTTGGCAGGTGAGGAGCTCGTTGCCCTGATCCACGGCCTGGGCTATTCCCCTTCGCCCCAGGCAAGGTTTTCCAAACTTCATAGGTGGTGTTGCTCCCTCTGCTGGTGTTGACCAGGCGGTCCTTAATGCCATGACTCAGACTGGCCTGTTGGTGGACTGCAGCCTTGAGGCAGCAAGTGCCCAGGCCGGCTTTTTGCGTGTTGCAGCCGCAAAGCTGAGGAAGTTGTGTGCAGCCAGGCCTTTCTCCGCTCAGTGCCGCACAACATCGGAGTGGATGAGGTGTGCAGACTTCTAAGTCCTGCGCCGAGCTCCTTTCGAATTCGAAGCCTTTGGCCTCCTCGAAAGGATCTTTGCACTGAGGCAGCCTACGATCCTGCGATGGCAACTCTGATGCAAAGCTTGTCCTCTCGATTTCACGCATGATTCAAGCATTCGGCCAGTTCGGCCTTGCTTTGTCAAGGCTTCACCGACTCCGAGATGCGCAACCTGAGGGAGGCCTTCAGATTCTATGCCAAGAGCAAGAAGGACTCCGAGAAGTCAAAGGTGCGTTCCCGGCGCTTTCCAGGGCCGGGGCATGGCGCTCTTATGCGCTCTGCTTCTCCTGCTTGCACCCTGCTTGCTTTCTGCATCCGCCTGTCGCAGGACGCGATTTGGGCCCCAACTGTTTGCAAGGCCTTGCGGTGGCTCGGGCATCCCTTGCCCTTGGACGATGTCCTCCGACTTATCGGCGAGGCCTCCTTTCTATTACCTCTGTGCCGGCAGTATCAAAGCAAAGTTTGTCTTGTCGTCCCGGTGATCTACTCCTGGAACTCGTGCTAAGATGCAGCTCATGCTAAACCGCTTTCCGCTAGGTTGATGTTGATGCGACCGACATGTTGGACTTCAAGATGTTCGTGAAGGTAACTCGGAAATGTAAAGACGCTGGATTGCATCAGTACCTGTCGGCTTCACTGCATGTGTGCTCCTAAATCACAACTGAAGATTCATGTCGCCCGTTCAGCTCCTAACAAGGAGAAGGAGCAGAGAAGGGCGACGGAAATGTTTCGTTGTCTGGATGTGGACCATGTGGGCTTCCTTGACGACTCGGAGCAGTGCCAAGCTCTGGAGAGCTTGGGTTGTTTGGATGAGAATGGGCAGCCGCCGCCTCGCTCTGCAGGCTCGGTTCTCTCTTAGACAGGTCTTTTTTCGATCTCCCAGCCTTGCGAGGAGAGCGCAACGGCGTCGACCTTTCTACCTTTCTGAACATCATCGAAAGGTTCAAGATGTCGTCGCGGGCCACCAACCACAAGTACCAGGCTGGCAGTCACGGAGGGCTCTCAGGCTGTCTCGTCTTCCATCGCTTGGTTGCAGTTGTTCTGTAACGTTCTCGCGAAGAATGCAGAAGCAACATCGTGGGAATTGCTTGCTGACTGCTGCGCGCTTGAAGGGCTACGGCTTCCAGGAGGTTGCGGAGCTCAGAAAAATCTTCCACCACTCAGGCAGGAATGGGAATGGCACGATGTCAAGAAGCCAGCTGGCACGAGTTGTGGAGCAGCTGTTTCCTCGATTGGCCCACACGATGGAGTTTCGCCCTGTGCTTACCCATCTGTTTGACACCGCCGACAAGGACAAAGCGGAACTAGGGTGCTGCAACTGGGGAAGCCTTTTGCATCTTATCAGGGCCGCTAGATGCTGGAAACTCATGGAAGTCATCCTGACCACGTTCTCGGTGCAAAGTGCTTATGAGTTGATGCATCTGGTGGACCTCTGCAGGACCATAACGGGTCGCTCGACTTTCTCGAGTTTGTTTCCATGATTCGCCAGATCTCGGACCACGAGAACGAAGTCCAGCTCCCTGGCCTCATGCAATTGAAAGACACTGGGTTTGGAGCCGGACCTGGGGTATCGAAGTCAGAATCTACCCGTCTTCGTGATTGGCTCAAGATGTCAGGTTCGAGCTCCACACCCAATCGGGCTGTTCGGGTAGTTTGGGCAATACAATCGACTGAAAGCAAAACGGGGCCCATCGAAAGATTCCCACAGAAAAGCTTTTGCAGCCATGAGGTTTGAACTGCAGAAGGAGGCCATTGAGGACCTCGGCTTCTCCCAGGCGGAAGCGAACCAATTTCGGGAGCTCTTCATGACCGCAGATGAGGCCGGAGGGCATCTGAGGGCCTAGAAAAGTAACAGAAGTAGTTTTGGCATGTGGAGGCCGGATCGCACACTTTGTCTCTGGATCAGATTCGGGAGATGCTTTCACACAGCTTTCAGCTGAGTGAAACCTGGCTGTACGGCTGCTTTTGCTGTGGATCCAGGCAGGCTCTTCGGAATTCCACTTTGACTGCCAAGGATGTCAGAGTGGAGCAGCTGCGTGTGTTCTTCGGTCATGTGGTGCGACCGTATCATCCGGTCGATGGCGGAGCTGGCTTCATCGAGTTTTTGCATATCATGCGCATCCTGACCTGGTATCGGTAGCAGAATAAGCAGTTCGGATGAAGCATGCAAGTTGATGGTCATGTCTGCGTCGAGTAAGGCAAAGTTGCCCAAGCAGGGTGGTGTGCTTCAGCTTGACGAATGCCTTGGCCATTGCAGAAGCTCGAGCCGTCTGCAGAGCCAGGCGAACGAGGCAGTCGCCATGCAAAGCACAAGTGCACAGGCCATCTACCTGCTCGTGCAAGTGGTTGGCACCAACCGATCAAAGTGAGTATTCAGCGCTGTGTTTAGGTGTATAGATGCTGAGTGGAGTATTTCCTTGGCACGTCGTTGAACGTAGACGATGCAGTCCCTCTTTCTGTACTAGCTTCTGCCAACAGCCAGACTTGAACAAGTGTTTTGACCTTTAAATGGGCAGAATTCAAGCTGTCTCGTGCTGAAGCAGCTGGAAGTGAGCGACCGAAACCGTGCTTGCCCTCGAAAATAGGTAAAGATGAGGAGGCTTTCACAAGAGTTAATGTTTTCCGCACTTTTTCGAAGGCCTTACCGCTCACATCCAGAGCAACAGACGTTGCGCGAGTTTCAAGGCGTTACGTGCCCAGTTCCCGAGCTCTGCCCCCCACATCATGTGTCCGGCGGAGTTCGCATTCGATAATGTGGTTTACATGCCACCAGTTGACGCAACCTATCGTCACTTCTGTTGCCATTTCTTGTGTTGCCATTTTCCCGGGGCCTGATATGGCAAATGAAACCACAAGTTTCGAACCTCCTGCATGCAAAAACCTGCAGGGATGGATATCATCTCATGATGATTGTTTCGTTTTCGAATCAGGACTTACGTTGCTAGAGCGCAACCTCAGAGACTACAACGAGAATCCGTGTGCGGCACTTCCAAAATGTGTTCTGGAGGTCGGAAACGCAGTCTTGTAGTGGGCATAGATTGGTGGGGCGTTATGTCTAGCTTTGGCTCGCAGGACGGGGCCACAATGCCCTTAGTGAACCAAGCGCTAGTTCAGAGTTCATGCACCCTAGCTGCTTTGCGACCCACGCCAAGAATCGCGGAAAGCCTCGGCATTTGATGCGATGCCATCGCCGCCATGGGTTTGGTGGCCTCGGCCGACAGCGTTATTGTTGCTTCGGGTTGGAGTGCACCGACTCCACGGTGCTGGGACCCGAGCCTACCTTCAGGCCAGGAGCTGGAGGCTGGTGCGTTTTTTTCAGCAAGGATGATTAGGATAATGTCCGCCGGACCGAATCAGGTCGTTGCTACCTCCTTGGAATCAGCTGCCCCCCCCCTTCGCCTTAGAAGTTGTGTTTTAGCGATTCAGAGATGCAGGTCTCGTGCTGCCGGCAACAGGCAGACTGTGCTGCTCCCGCATTTGCGCCCTTGCGGGCGGCCTGCTGTGGTGAGCTGCGACAGGGCGTGCAGCGTTTTTCCGCAGAGTGGGAGCGGGCCTCAGAATGGAAGTGAATCCGACTGTGGAGGCTTCGTGCTGCCGGCCTTGTTTGTGCAAGGACCAGCTCGAGCTGGGTATCGAACACGCTTCAGAGGAGCTGATTGGAATTGTGGAGGCCACAAGTGCCTCCAGATGCGAGGAGCAGGAGAACTGCCGAGCAGATTTCTTTCTACATGCCGCGGAGGCAGGAAGCCAGAAACGAAGTTTCCACCCCGAGGGCCCAAGGCAGGACGTCCCCTGCCCTGCAGGTTGCAATGTCTTCTTCCCTGGCGAGGGTTTTCCAGCTTGGCTGGTCGGACCTCACTGACGAGGGTGACTTTGCCTTGCAGGTTCGACGACCTGGGCTCCAAGTAGGGGCCATGGCGCCAGCAGCAAAAACCAAAAACAACCATCAAAATGATTACGTATCATGGCTGAGGGCTGTAAGAAATCGGAAGCACTCCATGTTCAGGAGATCTGTCTAAGCCGTTTCTTTGCCTCGCTCTGTCTCTATCTCTACTGTCTACTTCGCAGAACCCGAAACTGGAAGTTTAGAATCGGGGAAGTGTAGTGGAGCGGCCTGGCGGTCAGCACTTAGCAAGTACGGTAGCTGTTGATCCTAGCTTTCTTGGACACCAAAGTTTCTCAGAGACCTCCTTTGCTCGTCCATGCGATCCACAGGACTGGCGCATCACCTTGCTTCAGACATGCTTGACGCTGCTGTCAGCTTGGCACCCCGTGGCGCAAAAGGCGTGAACGACAAAGAAGGAAGAGCAGGGAAGAAGGAGAGGTAATATGCTATAATAAACTATAACATACTATAACATACTATCATATACTATGATATACTATGATATGCTATATCCTTGGCACTCGGAGGCGCGTGGGCTCTTCTCCGAGGCTGCGGGGCAGTGGTGGCAGGCGGTGCAGCAACGCTCGGCAGAACGCTGGAGCGCGGCCTCGCTGTCGACGTTGGTCCCTTCACGGATCCTGCACATTGCAATGGCCGGGCTTGCGAAAGGGGCCAGGGGATTGAAGCTTCTGTATGAGGTTGCGTCTTTGAGTCTGAAGAAGGTGGCTTCCGTCGGCACCCCTCCCTTCGGGCGAAAAGCGCTTGCGGGTATTCGCTCGGCGCTCTTCTTCGCCAGCTGCCCGTTGCGCTTCCACCTAGTGGTCGACCAAAGCGGCGAGGCCGACGTCCAGACGGCCCTGGCCTCCCTCGAGCCCTGGCTTCGCTCTCGAGGAGGGGCCCACAGTAAGCGTAAGACGGCCTGAGACGGAAGACCCAAAAGCTTTGCGAAACGGATTTGACAGGCTCCTTTCGCTTGTATCTGGTCGAAGCGCTTCGTGATGCATGGTCGGAGATCCAAGCCCTCGTTCCCGAGAGCTGCTTGCAGTACAGCGGTCACTACGGAAGCGCAGGCGTGGCGGCATGCACAGGAACATGGCCATGAGATGTACAGTACAGGGCAGAGGCAGAGCAATGTGGAGCGTGAATTTTGTGAACCGCCCGAGCCCGAGCAACTTAACAGTGGCACCGAGCTGGACTCCTCCCGAGACAAGGGAGCCGAGTGCGAGGGTGCTCTCCCTAAAGGATGGCTTCGGGTGTTCCCGCATCTGGTGATCCCGGAAGCGGAGGCCGTGGAGGAGCTGGTCTGGGTGGATGCAGGACATCGTGACTTGTGGCTACTCTCGATTGCTTTCTAAGCTTTGTTCTACTGGCCAGGAGATTTCATCTTTCTGGACGACCCGGCAGAGCTCGCAAAGGAATGCGACGCGTTCCATGAGGCATCTGCACTGATAGTCCGAATTAGTCTCGTGCTTACCCAGAACCTGCTCGGATTTGTGAGGACCACTTGATTGGTGTAGCAGATCCGCAAGTCTTGGGGCTTCCTTTGCAGCTGTTTCTGCTTCCACGGCTGCGAGAGCGGGCACATCTCTGGGCGGAGCTGGTGACAGGAGCCGTGCTGCGTGGCTGCGAGGCTCAACAAAAAGCTTTCAGAGCTTTCTGGTCTCTGTGAGGAAGTTCGGTGCCGCTGCCAGATCCTGCCAGCCTGTGATCTTAGGATATGCAGAGAAGGGCGATGGCTTTTGTAATCTGGGTGAGGGACTGGCCTTTGTCTACCTCTTGAACAACACCGACCACAGTCTGGATCTCAGCAGATGGGCCGTGCTGAAAGAACCACGGCAGCCAGTCCAGCAGGGGCTACGGGGCTACGGTTCTTTTCCTCTCCAGGTTGGATGTACCACCTGCTTCCTCATCGCTGGACATACATGCCTTGGGCTGTCTGGCTGCCGGCCCGTGGCACGGGAAGCATATGGGCTTCGCAAGAGCTTCTCTGGCGGCTACCCGCGGACTCGGTGTGGCGCGTCACGGCTGATTGAGATGAGACTCTGAAACCCTTCTCTCGCTTCGAGTTGTACATCCTGCCTCGTGAAGGGCATGCTTAATCCCGTCTTCACGCCGTATTCACGCCGTATTCCCTATTCAGCCTATGAAGCCTCAGTCCTCAGAATCATCGTCTTTCCGTTGTACAGCTTCTGCTGATGCTTCTGCTGTTCGACACTCAAGAGCCAGTAAACGATGCAATTCCGTTGCCAAGGCGATTCTGTGTTTCCCGGTCTTCTGGACCGGATTGTTCATTGCTTGGTTGTTGCCTCTGCTGGGGCTGCCTGACCCACATCGCTGTTCTGCAGGACTTCATGGCAATCCGCGTGAGATGCGCAAGCTTCCTTGAAGATATTGCAAGCTACATCCGAGCAGCCATGGAATGGGACCCGACCTCTCTGTCACTGTACGATTAGGACAAGAGGAGGTCATGAATCACGAGTGGCGCGTTTGAAGGACTTGCAATCAATCAGTGCGGATGATGGTAGGTGGCTTGGCACAGCAGCCTCCAAAGTTCGACTTTCATTAGTGAGATTCCACAACTTCGCTCCCCAAGGAAGCACTTTCGCTTGACGCAGGATGCGCAGATCTTGGATGAGTTCCAACAGAGAGCCTCAAACAGCATCTAGAGTCTAGAGACGCAGGTGCAGAGCAAGGCGCATGGCAAGGCGCATGGAGTTGTGATTCGGGCATTTGTTTATGAAGAGAGGCTTGGCATGCGAAGAACGCGCCTCTGCTGTCCACTTCGCCGTGCTCTTCCACCAGGTGGGCTGCCGAGATCCGAGAGAATCTGCCAACGACAGCTTGGCCTCCTGGCGACTGAGGTGCCCTGGGTCCACCGCCTTCCAGTTGCACTCAGACTGAGACTTTTGGGGCAGCCCCCAAATTTCACCCCCCCCCCCTTCCGCCCCCGTCCTTCAGGCTTTCTCAATTTCTGGGCCGGCGCTGAGGTCGGAGTGGGCTGAGCCGTTATGTCTCAACTTCCTACCCAGCCACCCCGGGTATGCCCGCAGGTCTGGGTGCCTCGACCAACCGATGTGCGCGAGTTGCGGATATCGTTTGACGAGAAAACCGGCTGGCCGATGTGAGTACTTGTTTGAGAGTCAGAGGCCCATGACTGTCATGCTTTGTGCTCTCAGAAGCATGCCATCAACATACATAAAGAGGGAACCAACCTGCAGATTCATTTCAGAGTAAACAGACCCTGCAGCCGCCGCGACTCGATCAGACGCAACATCACCATCCTAGTCAAAGCTGCTAGGAAGCGGTCACTCGAAGGAAGCTAAACGAGCCTTGACAATCACAAAGATACAAAGCTTCGCGAGCCTCCTTGCTCGTGCATGGCCGCCGATGATGCTCAGCGCAGCCCACCCAGACCAAGGGTTGCTCTTCCCGATGGCGTTGTCATTCTGTGCCAAGGCAGAAGGCAGCTCCTCGTGGCGATCGAGGTGACCCTACAGAGGGATGCGCTTTGAAGGCAGCGATGAGTGGAGCAGTGCCCAGGAATGTTCGGCATCGCTCGAGCTCAACCTTGGCAATGCACCTCGGCTTGCGTGTCGGGCATAGGCCTGAAGGGCCTGAAGGGCCAACGTACCCTCGAGCAGTTACTGGCTCCTCGAAACTTTGGGGTGTTTAGCCGCTGGATGAATCCCGAACCTACCGGGCCTACCGTCACCTCTCTGCTGAACGGGCACGGTTCTTGCAGCACCACAGTGTCGACATTGAGATGCATAGCTTGTCACTTGTTCAGGAAGAAACGTCCGCATGTTATCTGGAGTGTATGGCATGAAGCAGCCAAGAGCAGCCCAATAGCACTCACAGGGCGTAGAGCCTGAGATTTTGGTATGCCAGGCCTCCGTCCTTCAGCGCCGGGGTGAGAAGCACCGGAAGCTCGGCGACCTCCAGAAGGCAAGCGAAAAGTGTGCGAGGCCCTGTGGAACTTGAGCCGTGCGAGAGGCGCTGGCAGACTTCAATGCCGCCCTTGCAGTTGATCCGCACTTTGCCGGGGCCTTGTAGATTGCAATTGTTGTGATAAGGAAGGCCAGCTGGGCAAGAACAGGTTCATAGCACAGGAGAGGAAAGCCGATTTGCCGATCTGTGATACGGCTGCGCCCGGAAGACACCAGCTTGAAGTCTTCTGGCGCTTCCATCTGTTGTGAGGCCCTGGCACTGGCGGGTCGTGGCTCCGTCTTGCGGTCACAAGGGCACCTGCCACAGGCCCACACTTCTGGATAGTCACGTTGTTGAAGCTTCCTCGAGTCTCGGAAAGCCGCATGCCATTAGACGCTGTGTGACGCGGAAGGGGGGTCACCTGTGTCTTTGTTTTTGGGGCACTTGTGTCTTTTTTTTTTGGGTCGCTT